AACAATTGGAAAAAGAAATTTAAAAATACAGTATCACTGACAATAGACAGCATCAAAAAACATGAAATACTTATGAATAAATTGAACGAAATATGTGCAAGACCTAAAAAATGAAAACTATAAATACACTGTAGAGAAAACTAAAGAGATCTAAATAAATGGAGAGATATGCCATGTTAAAGTATTGGAAGACTCAATAGTATTAAGATATCAATTCTCCCCATAAGGCTTTTTGTAGAAACTGACAAGCTTATTTTACAATTTATATGAAAATGCTACAAATCTAAAATAACCAAAATAATTTTGAAAAAAGACAATGTTGGAGGACATTCACTACCTGATTGCAAGGCTTGCTATAATAGTCATAAAGACAATATAGTGTTGATATAAGGATAGACATACAGACCAATGAAACAGAAAGAGACCAGAAATAGACCCACACTTACAAAAAATGAAAAGGAGTTAGATTGCATATAACTTCCAAACTAGTAAAGGGGGAAGAGGGGAGCAGGAGGGAGGGCAAGTAGGAAAGAAGGGAGGAAGGGAAGAAGGAAATTCTACAGAATAAAATAACAAGGTGCTATCAGAATAGCTGATCTCCTAACTAGCCAGTGTGATCAGGAGAGACCTCTCAGAAGAAGTAACATGTAAATGGAATAGTATATGAGGGGCTCTAAAGGAAAGAACCTGAAAGTAGGCTGGTGTGATAGGTGCACAGCAGGCAAGGAGATAAGGCTAAAGAGACAGGGCTTTCAAGCCAGAGGAAAATATATAACAGTTCTCAATTCTATCCATTTTTTCTCATCCCTACTGCTGCTGTTCTCAATGCTCACCTAGATGCCTTCAAGATCTTATAGCTGATGAACCTGCAGTCTCACTCCAGCTGCTCCCCCAAATTCATCCCTCACAATAGAACCAAAGATATTTAACAGCTTAAAATCATTAAAGGGCTCCCTGTTCCTCACAAGGTAGGGTCTTAATTTCTTATTTGACTCTTAAGACCCTTCATGACATAGCCCCTACTTACTCCCCACTTAAACTATCTCTAATCCACACCAAACACAGTTAGGTATTTCCCTCTGCTCCTATAGCATCGTTTGCTCTATTGTAGATTTGTCGTGTTGTAGTTATGGTGCTTATTTATAAGACTGTTAATCCTACTAGCCTTTAATGTTCCGACTGTATGTTATTCACCTTTTTATCCCTAGCAGAAAGCATAGTACCTATGTAATAGATACTTTATTCCATAATTAAAACAGACTCATAACATTTTACGTTCAGTATCTAAGCATCCCTAAATTAAGAAATAAATGAACTGCACATACACAATAAAAAAACTAGATTCAAGGAATCCTTTAAAATATTTCAAAGATATTTTAAAATTCTATAAAATGACTCTTCTAAAAGTCAAAAGATTATGAATCTAGATTTGTAAATATTAGGTTTGGATGCAATAAGGTACACTAAGAAACATGTATGCCCCACAATATTACTGTAAGTATTAAGAATCTTATAAGACTATTACTTATTATATTGTAAAAGTAAAATTGACAGAAACTTGTAGCAGGGAGTATTATGAATTTATGTTTTGATTCCTACTCAAGGAATTCAAGTCACACATGCGCATCTACAGTTTTTCACCTTGCTTTAATTCAGTTCTCAAATACTATATTATTGGCGCCCTAAGGATCCACTACAAAGGAAGTACTTCAAAGAATGTTTACTTTTTCAAAAGTTTAAAAAGAAATTTGGCTTGGACCATCATATTAGCAAGATGATTTCATTATAGCATTATTTTAAGAGTAAAAAAGTGGAACTACTAAAAGGTTAAAAAGATAGGAAAATGGTTAGATAAACTGTGGCAGTAAAACTTTGGACTACTACAAAACCATAAAATAACAGTAATATGCAGCACCAGGGAAAACATGTTATGTCTAAAAAGACAATTAGATGAACGTTAACCACAGAATTATAAACAAGTATAGAGAGGATTAGTATATTATACTAATTAATATATTATGCAAGTACAATAGAATTGTACAGAAAAACGTATTTGTAAGATAGGTGAGAATTAAATTTTTTTTCCTTTTGAATTTCCTTTAATCATGTTATATTCTTTTCCAATACATGCTTTTCATATACCACATTAAGCTCAACTACACTTATATGTATTATGTACTGACCTAAGCAGAAAAATTTTTAAGTTTATAAACTACCTAACTTCTTCTCACGAAATAAAAACTTTTAAATTTCAAATAATAAAATTATCTGATTTTGGAATTTCCTACAATGATACTAAAGACCTACTATTTTACACCAGCTGTACTATTTAAAACTCTTTCCCCAAGTTCTAACTCTTATAAAGTAATCTCCAATTCCAACAAAGCATCCCATTACTACAAGTCTGTCAAACTGACAATCTGAAAGAGGAGGTACAAATTGTGGCACCAGCATAGAGAAGATAAAATTTTAATCCATATTATTATGAAAGCTTATTTGCTCTTACTAAGTTGCAGTAAGTATATTATATTGGAAATTCAAATTATAACAAATTCCATTTTTGCAAATCAGAAAGACCAAATGAGACAACCTGCCTCTGACTCAGCAGCTTTCTTTTTTACTTTACAACCTGTGCTTAAGTTGCAAGGATAAGACTGAAATCTAACTTTCAAACTGAGCAGCAAAGCCAATGCAAAATCAATGTCTGTCTTGGCAGAAAACTCCATTCAAGAGATGAGATGTTTTGGGTTTTTTTTTAGGAAGATTGGCCCTGGGCTAACATCTGCTGTGAATCTTCCTCTTTTTTTTCTCCCCAAGGCCCCAGTACATAGTTGTGTATCATAGTTGTAGAGTTGTACCTCTTCTCTACCAGAAGCTGCCTCAGCATGGGTCAATGAACGGTGAGTAAGTCCACGCCCAGGATCGGAACCGGCCAACCCAGGGCCGCCGAAGCGGAACGCACGAACTTAACCGCTAAGCCACCGAGATGTTTTGGTCTTAACCGGCAGATACATAAAGAGCAAAGGTGCCTTGTTGGGTTATTATTTATCATGCAAAATCCCTTGTGTATAGCTACAAATTAGCTTTTACTGCAGATACTCAACACGTTTCTTTATATAGAGAGCAACTCAACCAAATAACCTTCCAAGTCTGGCACCACGAATTGTTACAGCCTACACACCACTGCAGTTCCTTGTAATTTAAAACATTTGCCTTTTAAGAACAGTCTCCACGTACCAACTCTTCTGCCAATTTCCTCAGCTGAAAAGCTCGAGTTTATACTACAAAATACTATATTTACTCTCAACAACAGAATGCACGCATTTACAAATTATACAAGAGTAAATTACTCCAATATACAACTTCAACATTTCCAACATCATAACTTTTCTATTATCCAAATTAACAAGTCTGAACGGTACCACACAAAGTGATGTACTATGGCCAAAATCAACCCACATATTAGTTCACTAAAATCATTAATATAAAAGATCAGATTCCTAATCCCAATGAACTCTTTTGCAAAATGGCCACAGGAGATACCAATGACGGGAAAGTGTGAATTGAGTTTGCCACTACTAGAGAAATAAGTCAAAACAAGCCCACATGAGAGGCAGATCATCCTCATGAATACAAGTCTAAGTTGATATCTGAGTTCCCAGTCTCACACCAAGAAGGCAGTTTACCAACTATTTAACAGTACTACAAAGAACAAGGCAGAAAATAAAATATAGGAGGTTTTTTTCACGGTTATATTGATCAAGAACAGGTATCCTTGAATGCTCAGAGATGAAGTTTTTCTTTGCAACTAGTTTTGCTCTTATCACGTGTACACAGAAAATCACACGACACTCTGCATTTCAGATAGCTTAATACACATGATCACCTCAAATCAAATATTTATTGAGAACTCAGCGACTTAGCCCTAACATTCTCCCCTATCTTACTATACCCTTCACCTTCTAAACCGGGGACCAGAAGGGAAGACCTACTCCTATCGTAAATTGGGGTCTAGAGAGAAAGCCTTAACGCGGTTTTGCACACAATTAAGCAGGCTCAGTAAATCAATTTCCCAGACCACAATGCTTGACAATCTCTCGGAGGCAAAAACACAGACAGCTGAGTGTTTATTACTGGAGATGACACTTTCCCTTACATTTCCACACGTAACTTTGGTAACTGCCCTAAATTTTCCCGTGTGAAACAAAAACACATAATTGGGGGCGGGGGGTACTATTTAAAAAGTGGGTCATTCCTTATTTGTTCTGATGCGGCAGTCTTTGGGAGGGAAAAGGTCTATGAAGCAGAAAAAGGGAAGAAAAAAAGGACATGACAGCATCCTCAGTGCAGAAAAGTTACAGCTCTTTATAAGAGTCAGCACTAGGGGCTCATTAGTTGGTTTTATTTGTGTTTAGTCACTCGGAGTTGAATGGAACCTACCTTCCTAAAAGTTATTCCCAACAAAGAAGCCCTGAGGATCCGCCACTCTAAGGCAGAGGAGGAAATGCCCTCAATTCACCTGCGACACCTGCCCGGGCACTCGGTTCTCCCCCCTCCCTGTCTCCCGATCCTTTTCGAGACCGTGGGCCCTAGCTCTCCGCCGGCTCTGCCCCAATCCCCCTCGGGGACCCCTGATCCCCACCCCCGCCCCACCCTGCCCCCACCAGGCGGTCCCGAGGGCCCGGACCCCTGGCGCTTCCACGCGAGCGGCACTCAGGAGCCCGAGCGGCGGCGCGGGGAGGCCCTTCCTGGCGCAGCCTCTCCCCTATCACACCCTGCAGGCTCCGGGGACTCCCCGCCCCCGGAAACCGCGGAGAAACTAGGCCAGGAATGCCAGCCCCGGCCACCCTCCGCCTCCTCGGCGACCCCCCGCAGGCCGGCCATCGGAACTCAGCCCGCCGAGTTGCTACCTGCCCGGCGCCCTCCCTGCCCGGGGGCGCGGGCCTGGCGGAGGCGCGGCGCAGGGTTCCTCCGCGAAAGGCCCTCCACCGCAGACTCACCTGCCGCCCGCTCCTTCAGCGCTACCCGAACACAGCCCCTTCCAGGGGCATGAAAGCGCTGGCTTCGCGGCCTGGGCGCCCTCGGCAGGGCGAGGCGGGGGACTCACTCCAGCGCCCGCCGCCGCCGCCGCCGCCACGGCCCGATCTGCGCCTGCGCCGCCTCACGGACTCGGTCTCGAGGGGCGCTGCATGCAGTGAGGGGTAACGGCCGGGAGCGCGAGCTCGCGCCGGCGCCCGGCTCACGCGAGGCCGGCTGTGCGGACGGCGGGTCGCCTAGGAGCTGCCCGCGGCACGGCCGCCTCAACAGCTGACGGCCATGTTTCTGTTCCCTTTTTCTTTTTTTTTCTCCCCCTCTTTCCGCCCTTTCCACAGAACAGCACTTTCCTTCCCCCCTCCCTCTCCCTTTCCTACTGCGGGGGCGGGTGGAAAAGGGCGTGGGGGAGGGGTGGAGAAGGGAGGGCGCGAGGGCGGGGCTTCAGTCAAGCTCCGCCCCCGGGGAGGGAAGAGGCCGCGCAGCCACCGCTCCCTCCCCCGCCTCCCGCCGCGACCCCCTGTGGGACTCGGGGTTCGAGTCCTCCTGGCCTGCGAGCCCCACCTCCGCGTCCGCGCGGCCGGTCCCGAGGAGACACGGAGCTGAGGAGCAAGGGCCCGGGGCGCTGCTCTGCACCCCTGCCTGCGGGGCGCGGGCTCGAGGTGTGGTGCGGGTTTATTGCCGTGCCCTCGGGCAGGTGCCCGCTGCGCCTCTCGGGTCTTTCAAACACGGGCAAAGTGACGCCGAGTCCCTCAAAGTCACTGAGGAGAGTGCCGAGAGGGATGCAGGTCTCTGGACGAGAAGTTTCCTTCCCAGGGTGGGAGTTGGAATTCCCACACATAACTGGGGGTCTCTGGAAAGAAACCCGCTGACCCGCGCTCCCCGAAGTCCCTTCCAGGCTGCAGCGCCCAGTGTCGCTACCTCGGCCGCGATGTCGCGGGATGGGAACTCCGAATGTGGAAATCGCTTGTTTAAATAATCAGTCCTCTCCTGCCTCCCAAGTAAGTGTAGCCTCGTTCTCAACAACCGACGCGTGCATAGTCGTTTGGCCTTCATGCAAATTTTGCGAGATATTTTTGACAACGTTTTGAAGGTATTATAGTGAGAAAGAATAACAACTAGTTATTCAGGAAGAAGCAAGTGGTTTGAAACAAATTAGAAATTTTTACTTCCTGGCCAAAAAAATTGGTGAGTGACTTCACAGATTACATGGCAGGTGATTATTGGAACCAGTAAGATTTGTGCATATCTGATAAGTATTCACATAGATAATGATCATTCTCTGAGAATTATTCTCTCCTTGTTTAATCTATATTTTTGCCAGAAGTACGAGATTAGACCTCCGTCATGAAGGCCCCGTTGTCAATTTACTTCTAAAGTTTATTGCATATATGGATAATTTGAATTTTGTAGCCAATAGCAGAAACTATTTTCCTAACCACGTTAGCAGTCACAGTTGATTCAGTAGAAATTCACAGCAGTAGAAATAAGCCTTATTTAGTAATAGTTTGGAGTCAGTTTGAGCCCAGTGGAAACCAATGTTTGACATTGACAATCTGGACAGAAGTTTAAAAAGGAACTAGTAATTCAAAATTTAGCTTGTAGACTTCTTGTCCTTCCTTTTTCAAGGGCTAATTAATTAATAGTTTAAAAACATCGAATATAGACAAGATGTCTTAATGGGTACATTTCATTAACACTCATAGAGTGAAAGTTTTTTCATCTTTTCCTGGTTTTTTGCACCCACAGAAATGAAAAATGGAAGCCAGTATATCTCTTCCATTTGATTGACACATTCCTCTCAATTTGCAATGTAAGATTTAAGAGTTTCTTTAATTTTTTTGACTATTTTAATTGTCCTATAGCTTTACCATAGATTGTCATTGCCATTTTCTACCCAAAATTTCAGAGAATGAACTTGTATGTTTTGGGCCTAATTTTTTGTCTAAAGGAGCTGTTCTTAGGTCTGAAAGTCCTTGATTCAGCAGCCTTCTCAACTGCACTCTTAAGTGCGCAATTTGACTGTCTAAAAAGTGGGAGAGGAGCTGGAGAGCTCACTAACAACATAATTGTTATAATTGTTATAGTATCACAGCTTCAGTTCAACCTGTAGAAATACAACAATGCTTAGAAGAATCACTCAGCCCTTTGAAAAGGGGAATATGGACATCTGACTGAGCATGATCACTCTCTGCAGATTTCTGTGGATCAGTTGGATGGAAATGTTGAAAATTTTCTTAAAATAAGCAAGATATTTTTGGCAGCCATTTCCTGGGCTGCAGCATGCCATGTTATTTTCATCTTCCTATTTATTCTCTTCAAAAACTTCTAAACATTGCTCTTTCAAAGGAATATTCAAAGACCTTTATACCTCTATACTTTTTATTTATTTATTTTTTTGTGTGTGAGGAAGATCAGCCCTGAGCTAACATCCATGCCAATCCTCCTCCTTTTTTCCCTTTTTCTCCCAAAGCCCCAGTAGGTAGTTTTATGTCATAGTTGCACATCCTTCTAGTTGCTGTATGTGGGACACTGCCTCAGCATGGCCGGACAATCGGTGAGTCGGTGTGCGCTGGGATCTGAACCCGGGCCGCCAGTAGCGGAGCGCGCGAACTTCACCGCTAAGCCACGGGGCCGGCCCTATACTTTTTATCTGTTTTATTCAATTCCATGTTTAACAGAAGCATTATAAATCTAATAGTTTAATCTGATTATTGTAATTAGTTATTTTTGTGATTTCTTAATGTCTGAATTCCATACTAGACTGTAAGCTCTGTGAGAGCAGGGTTTACATATGTCACATCTGTGTATTCACATGTCATATTCTCTTCTAGATCCCCAGTACCTAGCAGAGTAACCAATATATGATAGGCCCTCAAAAAATATTTGATGAATGACTGAAATAAATCAGTCTATGATTCCCTCACTTTCTTCTGCTCTATCCTTAGGCAAGTTACTTAATTTTCATCATCTGTAAAGTGGGTAAAATGATATTCATAAGAAGTAAGATCATTTGGGTTTTTTTTTAAAGATTTTATTTATTTATTTTTCCCCCCAAAGCCCCAGTAGATAGTTGTATGTCATAACTGCACATCCTTCTAGTTGATGTATGTGGGACGCAGCCTCAGCGTGGCCGGAGAAGCGGTGCGTCGGTGCGCGCCCGGGATCCGAACCCGGCCCGCCAGCAGCGGAGCGCGCACACTTAACCACTAAGCCACAGGGACGGCCCCAAGATCATTTGTTAATTTACAATAAGCTATAACTATCAGTTCAGTAATCAATACTTGGCACCTGTGATGGGCACCATCTCATTGTAGCTGGTTTATGCCCTTGTGCATCCTCTTCCATTGAGTGTGGGGTGGACTTACTGACTGGCTTCTGACACACAGAACACGCCAGAAGTGATGAGATGTCTCTAACAATGTGAGGTTATGAAAAACACTGTGGCTTCAGCTGTGGATTCTCTCTCCTTGTCCTCTTGGCTTGCTCACTCTGGGGGAAGCCAGCTGCCGTGTCATCAGGCAGCCCTGTGAGTGAGTTCAGAAGTGGATCCTCGCCAAGTTGAGCCTTGTGATGACTGCAGCCACAGCCAGCGCCTTGATTGAAGTCTCCTGACAGACCTGAGCTGGAATCATTGAGCTAAGCTGCTCCTGGAGTCTTTATTAACAGAAACTATGTGATAATAATTAATATTTCTTGTTTCCAGCTGAAAAATTTGGGGGTAATTTGTTACACAGCAATAGATAACTAATACAGCACAGTAATACCTGGAAGATAGCAAGTGGTCATTAATGGTAATTCTTCCTTGGCTGAGTATAACTGGGTTCAGCATGTGATACTTAGTATCCTGTAATGCTGAGTTTACTGATAGTATTTACAGTTGCAGTAAGAGAAGGTCTCCAGAAAAAGTGGAAAGACTGACTTTATCTGATCTGTTATTTTTGCACTCTTTGCTCTAAGAGAAGTCATTAAAATGTATCTCATATAATGTCTAGGATTTGCTTCGAAATAATGCAGTGGGGCAGGAGGGTGAGTAAGTAGGGGGTTAGGTAAAACAACATTGGACATATGTTGAAGTGGAGCTATTGGTACTTGAAGATTCCTTATGTTGTTCTCTACTTTTTATGTCTTTTTGAAGTTGTTTTAAGTATTTCATGGAATTGTAAGTTTGGAGCTGAGGAGAGTCTGTAGAGATCATCTGTTCTAATTAACTCATTTGATAGATGGGGAAATTAAAGCCCAGCAAAGTTTATTGATTTACCTAGAGTCTCCCAGTCTCAGTTTTGATGATTTCATAATTGAGGAGAAAATACTCAATTCATAGCTCTTCATTTTCCCGAACAGAATAACTTGCTCCAGATTTCCTAGGATAGCTTCCACAGCATGAAAATATGAGCCTGATCCCCACTTTCTGATGTATAATCCACCTGTTGTAGACTGGCAGGTTCTTTGGTTCCAGCCTCTCACTTATCAATTTTCAGAAACAGGGTTTGAAGGCCTGGTGATTCACAACAGCAGGCCACTCTTAGTTATTCTTTTAGCAAGAGTTTTAAGTAAGAATGACATCAGCAAACACTGGATCTGCTTTTGTCACATGATACCTAAATGACTCAGTGTGTTCTACTCTCCATAGGCAGCACTAGCATAGTTTTGTCTTTGTGCTGCACTCCAGTATCTTATCTGGCTGGGGACTCTGTCTCAGCATTATCAGAATGGGCGCATCTAGAGTCTTTTGGAGTTACTCAGCACATTCTTTCCAGCTTTCTTTTCCAGGCCTACAGGCCAGACATGGCTGAACTAGGAGTGGGAAGGATTGGCACAAGGCTCTTGGTCTCGAGTCAGAGGCGAGTGAGTGATCCTGAGAACAATGTCCTAACAGATCATAAAGAAGAATAGGGATTAGCAGAGGGAGAAAAACAGCAAGAAATAATGGGTAGAGAGGTTGAGCAGGAAGATAGTCTATATGAATATCTGAGACACAAGACCTGCTGCCCATGGCTGACTTGTATGGGATCCCTACAATATTTTACGTGGAGGGCCTCCACCCTCAGTCTTTCCCCACTCTTGGGGATCAGTGTCTGTGCTAACATGAACACCACTTTAGCACCTAACAACTCCAAATATGGCCAGTTACCCTAAGTGGCATGCGTCCATATCCCTCCATCCAGATATGTTCCTACTTTCCCACCTTACAGAACTGTTGCCGATCCTGACGAGAGCTCAACTCTTGCCTGCCTCCTCCAGATCTCTTTCTGTGGGCCTCAGTTCTGGTATTCCTAACATTGTAGCAAATCGTCCTGACCACAGATCTAGAAATATATGTATTCTGTGTTTGTAAGATTCATTTTTAAAAGCATTTTATTATAGAAAACAGTAAAAT